ATATATATATATAATTGTTATGTTAGTCTATCGTAAAAAGTAAATAACGATCTCCAATACCAACCGGGTAATATTGATTGTAATGAGGACGAAAACGCAACGAGGCGCGCGTATCGTTCCGTTTCGTTCCGTTCAAGTACTCGGAGTAAACACGAAACGGAGGCGCCGTGCTCGCACAACCTCATGCGTGTGCTTGCTGGTTGCTGGCACTCGCGAGTCGTCCGTCTAACGTCATAAGAATTCCTCCTCGAGCGACAAAGCGAGAGGTGGAGAGAGCCAAGACTCCGTGTCTGTTGGCGTCGCGTCGCGTCGCGTCCGCTCGAATCTCGAGAGGTGGCCGAACCGCCGAACGGCGGCGGTATTCGCGTTTGTTGTCGCCGCAGGACGCTCAGACGTCAGAGACGCTTTAATGTGCATGGGGCGAGTGCGGGTGCGGGGCATGCTCTTAGCGGGTGTAGATGGTCGCGGTAGTCGCCGCGGCGTCGGCGGCAAAACTGCGGCAACTGCGCTCGCGTCAACAAAATGTCAAACCAGTCAAACATCAGCTCGCTGTCCGAGCGACTCATCGTGAACGGTGAGAGGAGCAGGAACAGCGTCAACGCTGCTGGTGCCGCCACCGGCGCTGTCAGTGGCAACGGCGGTTGCCGCGGGGTGAGAGGAATAGGAAAGGGCAGTTGCGTGGGTGGTGGAAGTGTCTTTGATTCTTACAGTGGTCCCGATTCTTGTGTCAGTCACATCAGTGCCGGTAGTAACAAGAATAATAACAATAATACTACTGATATCATTGGAAACGGCGGTGTACTCGTTGTTACCGGCGGCGTCATCGGTGGCGCCGCGGACGGTCTCCGCGACGTGACGTTGTCCGACGCCTTCCGCGACACGACGCCAGTGAATTTCTGCCGCGAGACGACAGTACCGCGTACCTGCAGCGGCGACTGTCGTTGCTGCACCTACGCTGTCGACGCGTTATTATCCTCGGTGACAGGAGGGACGACGTGCTTGGCCAACGGTGGCGGGGACGACGTCGCCGCCAATGACGACGACGTCGACGACGACAACGACGTCGACGACGACGACGACGACGACGTCGCAACGTCGATCAACTATCGTGAGATTACATTGAGCAGCGCTGGAATCAGAACAACGACGACGACGACGCCGCTGTTGGACGCCGGTAGCGTCGACGCAAGAACGGTCGACAGAAGTAGGAGTGGAAACAGCAACAACTCTATAAACGCCGCTGCCGTCGTCATTGTTGACGTCGCGCCGTCGTTCCACGACGTCGACGACGACGACGACGACGACGAAGACGAAGAAGAAGACGAGGACGACGACGACGAAGAAGAAGACGAGGATCGTCGTCGCTATCACGATCGCGGCAAGATGGTCGCGGCGATGAACGAACACCTGTCGAACGCTACGACGACGACAACATCGTCACCACCGGCGGTGGCAAACGCCATCCGCAACACCATCGCGATGTCATCATCGTCGTCCTCATCATCGTCATCATCATTGTCGTCGTCGTCGTCGTCTTCAGTATCGTCGGCTATGATGACAGCGACTACCACAAACGCCGGCGGCAATCCTTCCGCCACGATGATGACGATGAGCAGCGTCGGGAGCGGTGCCAATGGTAACAATAATAATGCCGGCGGCGGTGGTTGCACCAGCGCACGCAATCAGGAGTTCCAGGAGATGGACGGCGACGGCAAGAGTACCAGCGGCAACACCGCTGCCGCCGGTATCCATAGTTTTCCATGTGACTTCGATCATATGTATGCCAGCATGACCGACGGTGCTGCGCCGGCTGCCGCCGCGGCCACCGCGGCCACCGCTCTCGGCGTCAGTCCACTGCGCGGCAATGAGCCTCGTCACAATGATCTCACCGAGGTCAAACACCTCAAGGAGTTGCTGTTGCTCCACCTCGACCTCATCCAGCAGCAGTCCGAGCAGATCGTCACCAAGGACAAACTCCTCGCCGCGCTACGTCAGGAAAATGAGACGGTACGCGAAAAGTCTCTCCTTTCGCAAGCTGTCAGAGAAAATAAGAATTCTCTCTTAAGTTGTTGATAGAGATAGTGGAAATTCTTCAGTCTGTATGTATGTATAGAAAGGGATTTTCTCGATTTGACGTTTCAAATGGAGCTCTAGTCTATCTACTGTATGCGATTTTTTTACGTAAACTTGTGCCTTTTCGGTAATTTAATTTAATTGTGTGACGACGTTGACATTAGATAAACAGAAAAATATTTAGATCTACCTCTGATTCTCCCAAATCTTTTTACGATCGTAATAACCGATTGATAATGAATACTTTTTTGAATGCACCTACCTCATATAATATCGCTCGATGTTTATATTATCGTAAATATCGTAAATCGCGAGGAATCTTTCAATCTCCGCAAATGTGATTGCTTTAATCTTAAGTCGAAAGATGCGAAATGAGGTGAAGTGAGTGTCGATGAGTCATCGATCGAGTTTTCAATTCAAATCCCAATTCGTCCTCCAATCCCGTCATCGACCGTCTGATTTTTGCGTAAGCGTTCGCGACAATTGCGTCATGTGTACTCGAAAAATGCCTTAAAACACTGAGACAACGATTCCAAGGTGAAACCAAAGGATTTCCGACGAAAAACGCGTTCGCGAGAATCGCGTGAAATTTGGAGCAAAGTGAAATTCCGATTCGCGAAATATTATAGTTCCTTTCTTAAAGTATTACGACACATAGGTTTCGCAGCTGCTTCCGAAATAGAGATATGCATTAAAATTAATATTATAATATTATAATATTATAATTTGTTACAATTCACAATCTTACGCTAGAGATAGAGAAAAGATCTCGAGTAGATGCAGCGTTCGTCCTCTTTCGCTCGCTCTCTCTTTCTCTCTCTCTCTCTCTCTCTCTCTCTCTCTCTCTCTCTCTCTCTCTCTCTCGACTCTCCTCGCGGTCATTATCGAGAAATAAGAAAAAGGTCCGAGCGCCACCCTAACCTGAGTGCGTCTTCCCGTTCGCGCTTTGCTGTTGTTCGCCAGTCCTGCTCTTTTTTTGGTTACAGAACGCTTTACGGAAGGGCAACGAGTTTTGCACATTTTGTAAAAACGCGCTGTGCGCGCACAATTGCACGGCGCACATGCGATCCAGGCCGCGAGTGTCAATTCCCGCCTTTCCCCTCTCGCTGTTTCGCACAGCTTGCCTAACCTAAATGTACCACGCGGGGAACAGGTTGACCGTGAAGGTCAATTTGCGCGGTGTCAACACGTGGTGGCGCTACTTCCGCATTGAGACCGCGCGCGAGAACGGTAGAGGGAGAAAGAGAGAGAATGCATGTGAGAATGTGAGTACAGGACGAGTGTGAGAGACGAGCAAGATTTCCTCCGTGGGAGTGAACGATGTTCTCGGTGTTTTTCGCGATTTGAAAATGACAGTTGAATCGAAGAGGTAACCGCGATCGCGTGATGCCACAAAGCAAGTAAAATTTTTGTCGTGAGATCGGTGTGGAACGATCCCATTTCTCGAGCTGTGTTCAGTAGGCGATACGTGTTTCGTCGTTTCGTTAACGGCGCGAATGACAGGGCGCCAATCTATCAAATTAACCTCCCTTGCCGCAAAGTCGCGAGAGTAACGACAGATCGATTTCCAAAGTGAATTAAGATGATTTGCGAGGAGAGAAAGATAATGTACAGACGAGTGCATACGAGAAGTGTAAATAAATATTTGTATACGAAAATGATTGACGCGTCAGATATTGTGCCGATGATGAAATGATGTTTTGACTTGTCTGTTGCAGCTGAAGCTACGTTTGGAACGGATGGAAAGGCGTGTAAATCTTCAGAAACTTAGATCTGAATGTAGCGAGAATTCTACCGGTTCTGAGCATTTAGGTGCCTGTTCGCCCACCAGTGTCAATTCAGTGAATGTACCTTCGACCAGCGAACTGCATAGAAATGTTCAATGCGAGAGCACCAACAGTAGCAACATCTTGCACGAGAGTTTTAAGATACGTTTAAATACTAGTGGCGGTATCACCACTGTTAAACAAGAACCACACGATAATCAAATTAAATTGGAAGTCAAACAAGAGCCTAATAACGAGGCGAGGTTTGAATGGGAAGAGAAAAAGAAGAGACGATCTGATCCAACGCCTTTGTCTACAGGTAGTAAAAAGAAAAGAGGTCTCTCTTGTTCGTCTACTGTTAGTAATGACGGAGTGCAAGAAAAGATATTGGGTCAGACATTGCACGAAACCAGTAGAAAGAGCGACAGAAAGTCAAAATCTCTTGTAAAAAGAGAATCCTTTCTCACGACAGAAGAACATTATTATACAGCTGTAGGAGATCCAACTTACACATTAAATATGAAACAATTTAGTCCAGTAGATACAAGTAATTCATTAGAAGTTCCAAATTGGAGAGTAAAAGTATATACGAGTTGTTATACAATGGAAGGAACCGAGAATTTGGATGATGAAATTTTTAATAAGAGACATTTGAAATTGGAGAACGATGAAAGGAGGCGAAAGCGATGGGATGTACAAAGGATAAGGTTTGTAAAATTTGCTCACAATCTCTTTAAAAACTTAAAATATAATATGATTTACATATTCTATCTATTATTAGGGAACAAAGGCATATAGAAAAGTTGAAACAACGACAAGAACGTCAAAATCATCAAGCTACGTGTTATAATACAAATCATACTGGTCCTTGTCCATCATCCATGGAGGAGGAAACCATAACTTCCTTGTGGCCTGATATAGAACAAATTCAAAGTATCCAAGTAGATCTTCATTTACCAGTAACTGCATTTGGCGCACCTATTCCTAGTTTTACTTCATGGTAAAAAAAAATTTACTTTTTAAATATATACAGATTTTAGATAGTATTATATTGAGTACTTATTAGCATAATCTTTATCTTTCAGCGAATTCTCTTTACCCTGGTCGAATATAACGCGAATAAAGTGTCGACGTCCTAAACGTTCAACAAGTAGAAGAAAATCTACAAGTAGAAGAAAAGTTTAAGAGATATAAATTTTTATAAAATTAGACAGAACTGATTTTATCGGTACCGTCAGTTTTAAACTCTTGAAAATACTACTGCTCCCTCTCACGCCATAATTGAAACAGCGTTTTTCGTTGCAGGGGCACCAAAGATATTTTTATTGACTTTTTAAACACATGCGATATAATATAGTTTATCTATTTTTTCTACATTTTTTTATTTAAGTAAATTCGTCGTCAATATTTGTTTGATACATCTATTCTATATTTTGTACTCGGTGTTGGTCATTTTATTTATATAACTATGAATAGATATCACATACATAACGAAGTATCCATCATATTGAACATTTTTCAACTCCAGACTAGATTTCTGTTTCATTTTCAGTGAGTTGACAATATTGATATTTGCAAAACTTTTTTACTGCTTCAATTATATGGAGTACTTTATATTACTTTTGTAATTAAACACATTCTTTGTTATTAATTATTAAAAAAATCATTAACTACCATGTACGTTAATACTATACATCTGATAAAAATACATTGTAAGACAATGTTACGCAAAGCGGAAGAAAATACAATGAATTTTTAAATTTTGTGTAGCTCCTTTTGATTTTTATAAATTCTGTATTTCTTAATAATTTAACTTAACATCATAATGATACATATTCTTGAAAAATTAAACATTGCCGCCGAATTGCGTTTGATTAATTTCCAAAATTGACAGTACAAATGTATAGAATGTTTCAGAAAATATGCGCTTCCTCAGACAAATTTTTTGACAAAATTAACATTTTCTTCATGAAAATTTGATGGCCTAATGAAATAATTTTCATGGATTTCTCATGAAGGAAACATTAACATCAAGAAAATTTGTAATTAAAAGAAACTGGATCATCTTTTGATACAATCTGTATGCTGTACACCTGGATTGGATTACTAATAAGATTAATATAAAACAACATAAGCGACATTGATATTGTTATATCATCTGCTATTTTTTGTTCCCAAGCATGTTGAACGCTGAACGTTAAAATCCGAGAAATATAGGCGGAGAAGAAACTTAGACATCGTAAACGATTGTAAAATCATTGATATCGCGAGTAATAGTCCAATTTTACTGATCTGAGATACAAGGTTCTTTGAGTAACACGATTTTAGTACAATTAGTTTGATTAAATTTAACTATACTGACATGATGCGTATTATATATTTAATAAATAAAATTGTATGTAAATTTTTCATTCGTGGTATCTTCAAATACTGATATATTTGTTGACATAATTATTTTACAGTTCTGTCGTAATGCATATATATATATATATAGAGTATTCTGTAAAGATCGAAACAATGCTTAAAGGGAGATTTCTAAGGTCATTTTAAGACGAAAATTCTAATATCAAATGCCGAGGGGAAAATATTTTTTTTTAATATAATAAATATCAATAATTTGAAATATTTATAAGAGGCAATAATTAGCTTTCATTTTTAGCATTTTGAGTTGTTATTCAAGCACACAAATTTTAGGCGGTATAACTCGCTAACTTTAAATATTTTTAGTTCAAAAAATTTTTATATTATAGTCTATTATAGTCTCAACATTTTGGTTCTGGTCTTTACAGAACATCCTATATATGTACATATATGTATATCACATTCGATCAGAGATGATTTCTGATAATTTCGATTTTATTTGTGAAAAAACTGTAGTCTTGCGAATGTAATCGATGCAAATAATAATTTGAACAGATGTTAACATTATTTTTGCATATTCAATCTGCCGAATATCAGATAATTTTTATATATGATGTCTGATCCATAATAATTTGTCTTGGATGAATAAAAATGAAAATTGTATATTTTTCCTTAGAGATAGGTTTTTTTTACGTTCTATTTTTAAGATATATATGTAGGGTGTCCCATTTGAAAGAATCCACTCAAATATCCCAGAAATCGAAAAAGTTTTAGACAAAAGTTTTTTTACTTCGAGAGAAACATAATAATTAATTTGGATGGCGGCGAGGTCAGAGCAAGATTCGTCTTATGTCTCTTTTGAAGTAAAAAATGCAGTGAGATATTTGAGTGGATTCTTTCAAATGGAACTCTACTCTATTCTGTAAAATAATATATTAACCGTCCATGAAAACTAATAGAATTTCATGAACAAAACAGCATTTGATGCTACGATACTACGAATGTAATTATCAATATCTTGTAAATGACAACTTTTTTTAGTTGTGGAATTATTAATTGAGTTCTTAGTACATACATTTATAAATATATACGACACATAAATATATACGCTTTATGAGAAAAAGAATATATAAATTATTATTTTTTAATGTATATGCGTCAACAGAGAGAATTTTGTTACGTCGGCAGATGTACTGTGTGTCAAAAGTTGTATGAAAGTTTTTAAGAAGGACGTAGGGAGAACTAGGTTCTCCAATGTCACATTCGCCTTAAACGTCCTTATGTAATATAACATCGAGTACATTTTAGAAATAAAAAAGGACATTGAATTAATGACTCTGTTCGATGTATACAAATTCCCTAATTTAGATTTTAATTCATCTTTAAAGCTTGCGAATGCAGAAACGAGAATCGACGATGAGATGTAGACTTCATTTATTGTGAGTTTATGCTCTAAATATCTTTAGCAAGAGGTAAGAAAATTATCGATAAATAAAAATTATTTTTTAAGAAGAGTGAAGAGTGAGATAATATGTAAAAGAAAATTATTTAGGAAATAAATTATTCAGAGGAAAAAAAATAAATATCTCTGTTATCCTGCGTATTAAAGTCCACTAAGGATCGGTTGAAAAGCGTTCTGGATGATGGCATCTCAAAAGCACTTTCTGTGCACGATAAACGGTCCTAGCTCGTCATATTCCTGTCTAGAAATCCACATCTGTTGAAACGTACTGAGACTAGCGAGGATCGAGCCGCCGATCCACACCGAGTATTTCCTTTCAGGCGGCGCAATTACTTTGATCTTCATAGTTGGTGGCGCAAGCTTCGCTATCTCTATCTGCATCCGATCGGCGATGCCAGGATACATGGTAGTGCCACCCGAAAGCACTAAATTGGCGTACAAATCTTTACGGATGTCGACATCACACTTCATGATCGAATTATATGTCGTCTCATGTATGCCACAAGATTCCATGCCCAGGATACTTGGCCGAAACATTGCTTCCGGGCAACGGAAGCGCTCACTACCGATTGTTATGACCTGGAATCAAACCGTTATCCGTTACATCTTCGTTCACTGACCGCGCGGCTAGCCAACCCATGACGAGTTAACACTCACTCGACGCAAATACACGCGATTAATGCTAATGAGCTACACTCTCATTATTGTAGTATTCATTACATTCATATCAATCTATCTGTATTTCTTTGTATCTATAATTCAGACATCACTTTTAAGTCATCATAAATTAAAATTTAATTAAAATTTAATTAAAATTAGCTTTATAATAAAAGTTAATAGCCTAATTTAAAAATTTATGGTTTTTTCTTTCTCAAAAGATGTTAGATTTTTTAAATCGTAAATCTTTCTTAATAAAAAATCTAGTTATTATTGAAAAATTTTCGTTTGTGTTGATTACATGAGAAACGTTGCATTCATAAACGAATCAAATAACGCATTACCTGGCCATCCGGTAATTCGTAGCTCTTTTCTAGGTCGTTTGCAGTCTCTATATCACAATGAAAGTCTAAGGCAACGTAACACAGCTTTTCCTTGATGTCACGCACGATTTCACGCTCAGCGGTAGTTGTAAAGGTGTAGCCTCTTTCAGTCAGAATTTTCATCAGATAATCTGTTAAGTCGCGGCCGGCTAGATCTAAGCGTAAAATCGCATGAGGTAAAGCATATCCTGAAAAAAAAGAAAAAAAAATTATTGCAACATTAAAGATCACACAACAATTAATATTGATTCTCTTTAAATCGCATGACATTAATGATATATCATGAGAAATCGAAGCGAATAAAGAGGAATATACCTTCGTAAATCGGTACTGTATGAGACACTCCATCACCGCTGTCCAGCACTATGCCAGTCGTACGTCCTGATGCATATAAAGACAGGACAGCTTGAATGGCAACATACATAGCTGGAGTGTTGAAGGTCTCAAACATGATCTGCGTCATTTTCTCGCGGTTGGCCTTGGGGTTTAGGGGAGCCTCCGTCAACAAAACGGGATGCTCCTCTGGCGCGACTCTTAATTCATTATAGAATGTATGATGCCAGATCTTCTCCATATCGTCCCAATTAGTGACAACACCGTGCTCTATAGGATATTTAACAGTGAGAACTCCCCGTTTACTCTGCGCCTCGTCACCTACATAACTGTCTTTTTGTCCCATGCCGACCATAATTCCCTAAAAATACTCATGATTAGAATATATTTAACAGATTTATACAGATTTATACAGATTTATATAATACATCTATCAGATATCTATATTTTTTACCTGATATCGGGGTCTTCCAACAATAGAGGGAAACACAGCTCGAGGAGCATCATCTCCGGCAAATCCGGCTTTACACATTCCAGATCCATTGTCAATTACTAACGCAGCTACGTCGTCGTCACACATTTTAGAATAATATTAAGCAAGTGACTTTACAACAATGTATCAAAACAGGATTGTTTTTATAGCAAATAAATAAATAGGACAACTGAGAGACTAGAGGGTATAATGTTCTCGCGTAACATTAGCTTCTGAAGCATTGCGTTTCTTCCTAGAAGAGTTGCTTTATATGAGCTCCCCCTCTTCCGCCCACAGATCCACGCACACATCTGTCTTTTTTTATGTGACGATCAGAAACGAATAACATTTTAAATAGGCTCAACACTACCATATTTCCTTTAATAGATATAATTAATAGATATAGAAAGAACATTTTCGCTTATTGTTAAAAAAAAAGATTTACAAGTAGATTTTAATAAAATTGATTTTAATAAAATTTGTTTATAAATTCCTAAATTACATAGTGAATGTATTAATAACGAAAATATAATTTATAAATATAATATATAGTTTTTAACATGATTATATAACATAGCTTTTAACATTTAAAATAACATGCATATAAATGATACGAATAAAAATATTTATAAGTTTAACGATATATTTTACTTAGAAGTATCGGATAATAGAATACATATGAAGATTACAATTGTGACTTGCCATCACTACATATGTAAAATAAAACTCAACATTCCTTTCGTTCATTTTTTACTTTTTAGAAATATACGTATATTTCAAAGAAATATATGTATATATTTTAAATAAAAGACTTAATTGCTCTTTAATATATGCCAATTATAACTGGCAACTACTGTTTGTAGTGTAGTTTATCCTCAATAAATGCGTGAAGTTCTCGCGATAATTAGAGCATATATTTTTCTGCGTTCCTGCATTGATCTCTCTGCAAATCTACACTAAACTGCAATCTTTTTAGACATAACACGTAAGGAATGTAATGAATTTCATTTGCAAAAATTTTCCAAGCGAACAAATTTTATTAAAAAATAAAATACTTTCTATCATTAAAATCTATTTAAAGATGGATTCTAAATGGATTCTAAATGGCAAGTAAAATGAATCGAGCTAACAAGATTCTATAATTCAATCATAGAACATAACTATTATTCGTTCAATAAGTTCTCTCCATATATGTCATAGATTGACAAAATTAAACAAGAAATGAAGGAAGTAAGGGAAGCTCATAAAATTAACGGACTAAAAAGTCTTAATTGTTCTAAATTGTCTCCCATAAATGTGTGCACTTTTTAAAAATAGATAGTCGAAGTGCTCGCGATTTCATGAAATATATTTAAGAAATAATGTTACATATTTTTAGAAGAATATGATGTAATTTAATATATTGGCCCTTCAATAGTTTTGTTATCAATTTTTACTATGCTAGAATTATTCAATCAATCAATTTATACTATCAATTTATAACATTGGATATACATATATATCAGTTTTTATATTCACATATAACACAAATTTGACTGCTATTATTCTCATTCACATCACTTCTAGATAACAAGCTTTATTACTTTAAGAATACTTTACAAATCAATGTGCATTACAGAGAATCACTGTTCCATAGACTGATCGCCCACTAGAGCGATCTTTATATATAATTGCTGTATTATGCTCCTTAATTAACTGCTCGACTAATGATATTAATTAGGCTGTGAAATTAAGTATCCAGTTCAGTCTGAAATTTTTTGCATAAACCACTTTTGATATTTTAATAATGTATTATATAATGCTATATAAATGTAATATAGTGAAAAGGCCACATATAAACAATTTGCGCAATCAATATATGAAATATGTGATTACGATTAGATAAGCATATCTTTAATAATATCTTTTGTAGCTAGATGCATGTATACACACACACACAAACGTACATATGCGCACGTGCATATCAATTAACATGCAAAATGCACGTCAGAATATATGTATATACATATTCGAAGAAATTAAGTAAAATAAACATGAATACATTTTAAAGAATAAAATAATTAAAGGACA